GGTTCTGAAGCTGGTGATGGAACGTTGGTGGGTGGAGGACCGGCGGGTGGATGGGAAGGTGGAGCTGTGGGACCGGGTGCGGGGGTTGGAGGAAGGTAGAACTGGAATGGAGAAAAGAAAGGATTGAATGGAGAGTGAAAGAGAGCCTGTTGTTGCAGGTGATGGGCTGCGTGTTGATGTTGTTGAAATTGAAGCCGGAGTTGACGAAGTTCCTCAGCCTCGGAGGCAGGGAGGGCCGTAGGTGGTGTGGCCGGAGGAGGTTGAAATGCCTGTGGTGGAGTGGTAGGTCGTGGAATGGAGGCGGAATCGGGAGGTGTGGGTTGTGGATGTGGTTGATCGCCAGGTCCAGGTAGTAGTATTAAAGGGGGAGCCCCCGAAGATGCCCGGTCAGAAGGAGGATGAACGGAGGTTGGAGGCGACACGGGTGCGTCGTGCAAAGGGGCACGAGGTGCGGAATGAGGTGTTGGGCCCGTACTCTGCCGCGGTGGTGGCTGGAATGGCAAGATCTGGAACGTGTTGCGGGAAGGTTGGAGGTGCGACGACGCTCTTGGGGCTCCCGTTGGTGTGTGCGAGAGCGGTGTCGCCGAGAATGGGATCGACGACGGTGACGGTCGTCGCGGCGGGAGCGTGATGCTGCAGGTGAGCGATGTCGACGCCCACGGTGTCGGCGAGAGTGGCTCCTGGGAGAACGTCGTCGATCGTGGTGTCGTGCAAGTGGCGAACGTGTCGTTCGTGATGTGCGATGGCCACGGTGAGAAGATTGTCTGGGATGTGGTCGTCGTGGTGCGTATGGATTGAGGGGCGGTGGGCCCGTGGCACGTGGGTGAGAAAGTGGAGGTCGTGGACGTGGTGCTTGGACGCGTGGAGGTGGGAAGAATGGAGCAGTAAGATGTGTAGGTGGAGTGGGTGGAAAGGTAGGAGTGGAGGAAGCCTGGGGAGGAGGAGGGTGTGAGGGTGGAGCGGAAGCGGTGAGGTTGTGGTGAGTAGATTCGCCCGTGGCGGGATCAGAATGTGGTGGTGGATCTGGAGTGCCGCGTGCAATTTCCGTGCCAGGTGCCAGGGGAGTGACATCGTCAACGTCATAATCAGCTTCTTCAGGTTGAGCAGGAGGTCTGGTATCCCTGGAGCGAGAGCTGCGGCAAAGATCACGTCGTGAATGAGGACGAGTAGATTCCAGGGAAGAACTCGCCATGATGTCAAAAACGCCCGGAGATAAAGGAGGAACACCCTGAAATCGGAGTGAAAATGAAAATCAACGTGTAAAGATGCCAATCAACGTGAAGAGAGGTCATTCAAAGTGTAAAGATGCTTGTCCCATGGTCTAGAGCCCGACGAAAGGAAGAGGGAAATACAATGTGAAACTGAAAGAACAGGACAAAGGTGGAAAGTGTAAAGAGAATGATTCGTAGTGCAATACGGTCTTTTTATGCTGTCTGGCAAGGTGTGAGGTGAAACTGAGAGGCTAAGATCTGGTCGTTCGAGGGCGAGAGCGAGATCTCGAGCGTATGTGAAGACGAGGTCGTGGTACATGGCGAGAGGGCGGAGGACTAGGAGAGATAGGCATCCGGACAGTGGTGTTGTGAGTCCTGGTAGTCCTCGATGACGTAGTAGGTGGAGGTGAAACAGATATAGTGCGGAGAGGGGTGCCCGATCGCCAAAATCGGTGCGGCCTTCAAATTCGTCTTCAAGTTGTTCCGGGCTCTGTTGAATAATATGAAGGAGGCCCAGGGCGGTAAGGAGCTCATGGGTGTAGTGTACAGCGGTGTGGTTGAGACGAAGAGCGAGGAGGAGCGTATTGTCCAAGCCTTCAAGGTGAGCTCGTAGTTGTGGGTGGGTCACCCGAGACATGAATGGAATAGTGCGAATGCTGAGTGGGATGTGGAGTAATGCATGGACCTGGGCCAGAAGGACATGTACAAGTAGAAGTTCACGATGTAGCATAGCCTGAGCACGAGGGGGAAGACCTGAAATCGGTGCAAAACCACAAATTGGTGTAGATGTCGATGTCGAAGTCATGGCGGGAAAGGCAGTAGGAAACACGGGAGCGAAACTAGTGAGCCGAAGGTACAATAGGAACGAGAAATAAAGACAGTCAATGAGATACCAGAAGGAGACAGTGAAGATAGGTGATCAATCATGAAGTAAATTAATGGAGAAGGAATATTTTCCTCAGCAAAAACTAAGTGGTTCGGTTGGTGAGAAACCGGCTAAAATCTGAATCTCCGCGGAGGGGATCGTGACCGAGAGGGCGAAGGAGAACTTGGCATTCTCGTCAAGGTTGAAGGCGGAGCCGAAGGAGTCAGAGAAGGAGGAGGGGCTTGGGGCGGAGAGGGGTCCGAGGTCGTAGTCATCGTCGTCGTCACAGTTGGAGAAGGAGGAGAGGGAAAGAGGATAAGCGAGTGTCTGGAGGAAGAAAAGGATGGAGGAGAGGAAACTGATTGGCCAACAGGATGTGGAAATGCCAAAGTGGAGCATAGTGCATCTGCGTAGACCAATGTAGTACAGGTAGCTCGTCGAATCTGTTCTAGGCTAGTCTCCAGTGCACGAAGGGTAGCGCTGAGACGAGGGCAGGTGATCGAGTCCACAATGGAAGGAGTGACAGAATCAAGAGGTCCACGTAGGATCAGAAGAATCAACTGTAAAGAAGAATGTATGTGGAGGAGTTCACGATGAAGTACCTCATGAGCAGCAGCAGGTAAGCCAGCGATGGAGGCCAATCCCATAGGTCTGGTTGGTGGCGTCGTGGATGACATCGACATGGCGGCGAAAAGGAGCGAGGAAGGCGAGCTCGAAGGGCGAGGTATAGGGCGTGAGAGGAAGCTGAGAGCCACACGAAATATTTTCTCTCGAGAGTGGAAGAGTAAGCGAAAACATCTAGAGATTTCTGGAGTTTGATCGAGGGTGAGACCGAGAGCCGAGAGCGAGACGGTGCTGTACTGGATCGATTAATCACAGGTCGAGGCGGAGTACGAATGGCAGGGGTCCTCGGTGGTGGAATCGGTGATGCCGCCGGAATGGAACTGGTAGATGTCATACTTAGACGTAGTCGGGCCCAAAGTAGAAGCAGGAAAAGATGGAAGGCGGGGGTCAGGGAAGGTCGAGCATCCACGTAGTTCAGCATCCACTTGAGTAGTGTCGCAGTACAAGGCATGCATCATCCCAAAGGTGGTGAGGAGTTCCTGGATATAGTGCACACCATTGTGGATAGCTTGGGTCGCCTGTCGAATCGCAGAGTCCAGACCTCGAATTTGTAGCTGAATATGTGGCGAGGTGATGTGGTCCATAAAAGAAGGGCTGAGAAAAGCGAAGCGAGTGCGTAGGAGGGAGATAGCGAGAATCAATAAACCCGGAGAAGGGAACATGGCGAGAGGAGGAGGATCAACTGAAAAACTAAGGCTCCAACAGGTTCCAATGAACCTAAAACTGGCTTTGACCGCTCTGGTCACCTTGTGCCTTGCCGAAATGGCTGGCTGCTTTGACCGCTGCGGTCACGTAAAGGCATGAGCCAACTTGGTATTCCAAAGATGAGACAAAGGTCATCGGACGTACGGCCTAGGCCACCTTCGCCCGCTCTGGGCATCTACATCTCCGGGCAGGGGAGAGAACAACGTACACCCGTTCAACGGGTCCACGGGAGGCACTCTGCGGGCTCATCCCGGGTTGGCACGAGGCCAAACACACTTGAGATATTGTGTACTGAACTGAATGCGGCGCCACACGCCGGCCTAGGGTTCCATTTCCTAAGAGTACCCAGTAGGAAGCCATCGAATCCTGGGGGTCTTCAAAAGGAAAGGTGGCCCAAAGCGCAAGATCGAGGTCGACGAGCAGGTCGAAGTGACGACGTGTCGTGCGTGTCTGCAGTTTGAGGTTCTGGGCTTAGCCTCATGCCATCCGGAAAAGGAAAAATGCAGGTACGTCGGTGAGCGTCCCCACCGATATCAGTGTTCAATGCAAGCCTCTTCGTTGGGCTGGTACTTGCATGAACAACCAGCCCCCCTGCGAGAAACCAAATTAAAATCCAAAAGGATCCCTATGACTCCAAGGGTTACACACACACATAGAGACCCACGCACTGCCTCAACTTACTCGGAGACACACACACACAGACAGAGACTCATACACACACACAGACACAGATACACACACACAGAGACCCACACACTGCCTCAACTCACTCGACTTAACACTTCACACTGATCACTTAACAGATAACTCACACTCTGACTTCCTACGTGATGGAAAAATGCTTTCGGGCCACTTGTCGTCTAGCTTGTGGGTTCCTTTCGTTTCTGTCCATCAGCACTCTCCCATGGTTGCCTCCTCAGCTCATTGCCAGGAAACGGGAGGCTTTGCGGGACGCTTGGTTTCTCTTCGACGGGGCCCGCCTTGGCAGATTTGGGAAACATGACATAAATGATGTTACCCGCAGAATCCCACCAGAAATATATTGAGAAACTGAGAAGCATCTCTCAAATATGCCGCTTTCAAGACAGAAGACTATGGAACACTTAGAAAGTCGAAGGCAAGTCACTAATTAAGGATTTTCTGGTGGCGGATCGATAGTCGTTTAACCATGTTCATATAGCCGGCCATGTTCATGATCAATCACGTATCCATGCACCGTGGTTGCATGCTCAGATTGTAAAGCACACAATGATACCCAACCACCCGCTAAAGCCAGAAAGGCCAAACCGTTCTTGGCGATGATCCTATGAGACAAAAGAACAACACTATGTTTATACATACCTTGTCCACTAAGATCCAGTGAGCCAGGTCTTGGTCTTCTTGATGTGGTCGGAGACGTGGCTCCTGTCCATTTGTCTAGCCCTTTTCGCACCCGATGCCAGCTCCTCGGGCAGCTTGGCTGTGTTATACGTGGACGGCCTGTAACCTAATTGGTTGGCGGAGGCTCACGTTGTTCCAGGTTCAGAAGTCAGCCCAAAATTCGGAACATGACGTGACTGTGATATGCTGTGATGGAAGATTCACTTGCTGCATGAATGGTCTTGACCCAGACCCATGGCATGAGCTGCGGAAAATTTATTTTTGGCTTCCTCCAAGGCTTTCGGCTGATGCGATTGTTGCGCTTCACACGCCTGGCTCGTATGGCGCGCTTGCTGCGCAGCATCCCAGAGTTGTTGATTATCGTGAGGGCCATTGCCATCGCCCTTCGCTCAGTTCCCTGGCATGTGATAGAACATCAGAACACCCCAGCGCCAAACTCCGCCATTCGATTGGTTGACCTCCTTCTGGGACAATTCCACATTTTGCGCTCACCGTCCTCCGCTTAATCTCTTCGAGCAAGTTGAGAAGTTGAGACAGACACAGAGAGAGAGAGAGAGACAGAGAGGGATCGATGCTTGCTTTGGATTGTGTCTTTTTAGACGTGACTCCTTTCTAGGCTTGAAGCATTGCGATTTTTTCCAATCAGAAAGCTTGCTCAGACAGTTGAGCACTGAAGAAGCCTTTTTTGCTGCTATACTCGCATTGGCAGATTGGGAGTGCCCCACCAAGACAAACACCAAACAAGGCCCCAAATCAACCCCCACAAGCGCAGCGGAGCCTGTAAAGTGAGTGAGTGTTCATCATTGTTCCTAAAAATCTACAGTGCGAGCGATTCTTCAAGGAAGCAACCCCCCGCCGCCTTTAGGGCGAATAGGTCTTGTTGATCTCCGAATAGGTCTTTTTCTTGATGGTTCTGCTGGTGGGCCTCGTCTACGTCTTTGCTCTGCTCTTCATGGAGCTTTTGGATGGGAAGAACCAAGCTCCAGGCGGCGCCTGCTCAGCCCCAACCATGAACAGCCCCTACGCCAGTTTGTGGCTATAAAATGCTATAAATGGTTCACCAGAACGGCGGACCGCCTTCGGCGGTGACATGCGGGGGAAAAAGAAACCAACAAACATTGACATATGACCATCAGGTGTATTTGCTTGGGTCACGTAGTTGTACCTTAGCCAGGTGAATCCTGCATCCACATGGGGGGTGGGTTTAAGGTTTAGGCCTAGGTCCGAGGTCTTTGGGTTGAAGCTTTTGGGGAAAAGTTGAAGAAGGATGCGCAAACACACAGGCAGGCAGGTTGTACTGTAGTTCTATTCTATGCGCATATTTCAATGACGCACAACGGCGGGCATGCACATGTTCTATAAGCTAGAAGGATGACTGAATGCTGGAGGACACTGCAAACTCATGCTACTTGGAAGCGATGCTGGCAGGTTCTTTGGCATATGACAGCTTTCGTTCTTTGCCGCAGTCTATGAATACCTTGCTACTGGCGGGAGCCTTGCCCGATCAGTCCAGTCTGGTTGAGGATGCTGGAGCTACACACTTCTTGCTCTATCCCTTGATGCTCCTTTACATGCTACTGGCATCCCTCACAGTGATGAATATGCTGGTGGCTGGGTCTTGGAAGCTGAACAGTGGTTTGGTTCTTAGAAAAGCCACAGAAGCTGATCATTGTCTCAGCGAACCAAAGAAGTTTTTCTGGCTGAATCGTTGTGGCCTTGTTTGGGAGGAAGGCTCCAGCAAAGAAAGGTGCAAACATGCGCTCACAAAGTTACGTGCTAAAAGACTTGAGTCTGTTTTAGGGGCCATTGATCCTCTCCGGTCGCTGTGATGGGTTGGTCTAGGGCAGGAGGTTCATTGAGCTGAGGCTGTTGTTTTGGTTTATTTGCATTTCTGTGCCTGACATGTTTCTTTTCACCATTTCTCCACGCGAATAGAGTCACAATGCATCTTGAACCTTCTATGGATAACCCAATTGAGGAGATTGGTTCAAGGATGGCAGGCCCACATGGTTGAAGAAGTAAGGCCGCCTTATCGAGAAATTGGAAACATTGGCGCAGATTAGATTTGGTATGTTTCCTCGCCCGATAAATTTACACTACACCCTTGGCGATTGGAACAGTGCTTTGCGATACTGATTCCCTCGAGTACGCTGTAAAAGTTCTTGATCCTCCTGGATCAGCTTCAGGTGGGCATTCTTTGTGAGGTCGTCACAGTGGTTTCAGCAGTTGAGAAAGAGGAGATTTTGTTGAAATCGGTGCCTCCACAGCAGTCAAGACTGAACAGGTGTTGCACGTCTAGGTCCATGTGTAGATTCACAACGTACTCGAACTAATTATACATATTTCTTGCTCTCACAAGGCCTCGTGGGGTGGATTCATTTGATTCCATCCCAGAATTGAGATTTGTGATTTGAGATAGGCTGCCCGAGTGGTATATATGGAATTGTATATATTACTATATATATGGTTGTCGATCTAAAGGTCCTAATAGGTTGCGTTGTTGACGATGACCCTGGAACATGTCAAAACCTCATTTGGCGAAAGTTGTTTCTTGAGTTCGCGAAAGTATTTTTTTTGGGGCGAAAGATATGGCTAAAGATGTTCTTTCTGCTGCCGTTGCTGCTGCTGCTGCTCCTACTACTACTACTACTCCTACTCCTACTCCTACTCCTACTCCTGCTACTACTGCTGCTACTACTGCTGCTACTACTGCTGCTACTACTACTACCACTCCTGCTGCTGCTGCTACTACCACTACTACTACTACAACAACAACAACTACTACTACTACCACCGCTGCCGCTACCGCTACCGCTACCGCTGCTGCTGCTACTGCTACTGCTACTCCTGCTTTGGGCGGTGGCTCTGCCACAAAACTCTACCCCGCAAAAGGCGAAAGTTTGGCGAAAGTTCAGCTCAAGATTGGCGAAAGCTCACCCTGCCACATCTGACCCCCAGCCAATTATGAGTAAGTCTGAGCGACCGGCTGCAACAGTGATTCTTGCAACTTTTGATTCTTGCAGACACCCAGGAGAAACAAAAGAGACGTACAGGGCGTCAACAGTTAAGTAGAAAACACATGCGGACAAACAGTGAAGTTTTTACTTCGTATCTGCCAGTAAAGAGCTTCTTGGTGTAGGCAGAAAGGACGCCGGGGGGTTGCGTGTATCATCATCTCCATTCTCCCACATGAGAGGCTGAATGGCATATCTCCGCTCCCTTAAATATACATATATGTGTATATATGGGTGTTGATCTAAATTCCTTTATCTGGGATCCGTCTTTCTTAGCCAAAAAAAATACTTTAGCCAAACTTGTGCCTTCCTGCGTTTCATCTTTCGCCGAAGTATGTTGTATTTATGTTTGCCATGTGTGTTGTATGATGGATATCAATTTTTCATGTCATTGAAGTAACACCAACGCACGCCCAATTGTTGTTAGAAGTTCCTGACACCCCTGACTGACCATCCAGTAAGTGCATGCTCTACATTGGTCAGAACCCAGTTACATGAGGTGAAGTCGTTGCTCAAGCAGCTCCTACTGGATGCGCAAGCGGACGAAGTCTCTTGGAGAGTCCAAATGGAACAGAAGAGGGATGATGGGATGCTGTTTCGATAGCTGGAAGTCAATCTCTTGAATTGGACTCTGGATTTGACAGCCTGACAAAGAAAGGGAACCTGATAAGAGTGTCTTGATATGTATAACAAAGTATAACAAATAAATAACAATATCGTGGTAGTTGGGACTCCGTTTAAGTTCACCCAATCCAAAGATGCAACTCTGATTCGGCAAGCTATGTGTGAGCTCTCAAATTTATTTGTTATGGACGAAGTTTGAATACCTCCAATTCAATGACTCCCGGTTTCTAACACACTCCTTTTCAGCCAAGCTAGATTCTGTAGGACGGCGATGGCAGCATCTCTCGAAGAGAATTTGACAAGATGCTCACGAACCCCACCTGCGTGAGAACCTTGAGCGAAGTGGGTGTCGATGTTTTTGCCCTGGTGGACTTGGCGGATTTCATCTTCGGGCAGAAGGAGAGCCTCTCATTCGCCTCCTTTATGGATGCATCTGGGTGGCAGCTTCCTGTGTGGTTCGAGCGATGTCATTTCATCAAACCTGCATAAACCTGCCCCTTGATGTCCAAAGAGATTAACTTTACCCAATCTAATGATTGTGAAGCGAGCAAAGTCATCCTGCTCCCTTTGTGTTACTTGTAAAAGGTGTGGCAATGCAAAGGACAGGTGACGGCAGCGCAAACAAAACAAGTTCCCCTCCCCAGCAGATGGACCAGTGCTGGAGTGCTCTCAACTGGTTGAAGCGAGCTTTCAGAGTACCCAGAAAATCTGACAGAGTGTCACTTTGAGCTAATGTCCAACTATGAGCTCATAAAGCCTTCAACCATTCACGGCTTAGGGCAGCTTGGTGCCTCTCCTAGGCCGTTTTACAACTCCGAGGGAGCAACACCGCCACAGTCAAGGAGCAGTTTTGTGAGAACAGGGTGACCTGAAAGACTTTGGTAGGCTCTGAAAGGAGAATCTGAGATCAAAATTGCCCAAGGAGTCTCTTTTGAGAGGGTGTTCATGGAGAGGGATCAATCTTCTCTTTGCTACAAGTATGGTCCCAAACCCGTCAAGTTTTCTCCAAGTATTTTTGAAGAGCTTTTGTCCTGTTACAACTGTTTGAAGCTCCAAGAATGAAAGTTCTGATAGTCTACACGGGCCACGTGGGTTTCTTCCCACGGCATTGCGTTACTCCTCGCTGTCATCGCGGCTGTGGGTGGATGGAGTCGGAAGGGTCGCGCGTAGGCGGCACAGTTTAGAATGTTTTTGGATCCGTAATTCCATAATAAGACTGAGTTGTAGACTTATATTATCAGTTCTTTGGCTATGGCAAGAGTGTTGTATCACAGGTAGTAGGCAGTGCTGGACTCATAACAGGACATTGTGGACCTGCAGAAGCTCATTGTCAATCACTTCAAGTCCACTTGACTCCGTTAATTTCTTCCAAAGCTTTTTCTCTGCGCTTTTGGTTTTTTGTGAGCAGTTGCAGATGTTGCTGGGAAGGGCCCAGCCCATATTTTCTGTGCGAGAAACAACAGTATCCACATCTCCAATAAGCATACGTAAGCGTGTGTTTTGTAGTCCCGGACTGCATTCCATTTCTTTCGCGTTCATCCAGGTCTTTGGAGACCCGGTTTACAACGTGTCCGGATGAGCAGACTTTGCCCCCGATGCTGGCTTGAGCAGCGCCACAAGCCCACGAAGTCAGCCAGCAGTGATGGGCAGCATGGGATGTACAACTTGTATCAGGTAAATCAAGTCTAATTAATATAGTTTGCTACTAGGTTGGAGGCCATCGCTATTAGTATGTTCTCCATAGACTTCCGACATACTTCAGTCCATGATTGCGTCTAGAGGCCCCGGCAGAAGTTGTATACGCACCTGATTGAGATGCCATCCGATTTGATAGCTAGACGGTGAAGATGGGCTGGAAAGTGTGCGCTACTTGATAGTTGCTTTGGCACACCCAGACACCTCAGGGCAACAAAACGAAGGCTGGATAGCCTTGTAAAACGTCAGATAAGTAGATGGGCTGGACAGCCCCTGACCCCTCAGGGCAACAAAAGGAAGGCTGGATCGCCTTGTATACACTGACTATGCACTTCAATTATACAAGTAGGTGGGGTGGACAGCCCCAGGCGCCTCAGCGCAACAAACAGAAGGCTGGATTCGGCTGGATAGCCTTGTATACAATGACTGGGCACGTCAAATGTATAGGTAGATGGGCTGGACAGCCCCAGGCGCCTCAGGGCAACAACGAGAAGGCTGGGATAGCCTTGTAAACACGGACTAGGCACTTCAACCAAATAAGTAGATGGGCTGGACAGCCCCAGGCGCCTCAGGGCAACAAAGAGAAGGCTGGGATAGCCTTGTATACAATCTCAGGGCAACAAAGAGAAGGCTGGGATAGCCTTGTATACAGTGACTGTGCACTTCACATGTATAAGTAGATGGGCTGGACAGCCCCAGGCGCGTCAGGGCAACAAAGAGAAGGTTGGATAGCGTTGTATGCACGGACTAGGCACTTCAAATATATAAGTACATGGGCTGGACAGCCGCAGGCGCCTCAGGGCAACAAAAAGAAGGCTGGGATAGCCGTGTATACATTGACTAGGCACTTCAAATATATAACTAGGTGGGCTGGCCAACCCCAGGCGCCTCAGGGCAACAAAAAGAAGGCTGGGATAGCCTTGTA